GAGCGTGAGGAGTCCTGTCCCTGAGGACGATGGAGCAGCAGAGACAATGTGTGACAAACTGATCACAACCCCCATTCCCCATCCACCTGCACCTCTCGGGCAGGAGGAGGTAGAGAATTCAGGAGCAAAATTAAGCCTGGTAAGAAGGGAGGGGTGGGGGGAAAGTGTTTTAAGATTTAGTTTTTATTTCTCATTACCTTACTCTGATTTGATAGGTAATACATTAAATCAATTTTCCCCAAGTCAAGCCTGTTTTGCCCATGACGGTAATTGGTGAGCGATCTCTCCCTGCCCTTATTTCAATCCATGAGCCGTTTGTTGTATTTTCCCTCCCCTGTCAGGTTGAGGAGGAGGAGGAGTGCTTAAGAGCAGCTTTTGGTGGGCACTTGGCATCCGGCCAGGATCAACCCACCACACCAGCAAAGAGTGGGCCATATACATGAAATTCCAGCATACCACAGCAGCTAGCAGCACATTTTCTGAAACTATTCTAGCATAGTTAAGAAATTTGTGTTTCATGCTGTCATTTGGGTAACAGCAAGTAAGAACTTCATCTTGCATTAGCAAAGCTACTTGACTAAGAGAATTTAGAACAATGTAAACTACACGTTTGAAACATAAAACTAGCAGCTCTTATCCCATTTCTGTAAACCCATACTACTTCAGAACATATTTACTTTCCTAAGCAAGTGAATTTATTGCATTTTGATACAGAATTTTCCTTTATAAAACTGTTTCTTTTCTTCCTAGGTAACGATCATGAAAGTTAAAAATCTAAAAATGCTAAATTGATGCTTATCAAACATGTCCTTTAAAATCTTTGCAGACTGGAATGCCACATCCATCTTGTAGAGAACCACACTAACAACTGCTTGTTGTTCTGCAAAGCCTTTGTGTTACAGAAAAAAATCTCATACTAATGTCTTAAATGACCTATGGAAAACGATTAAAGGAAGAGTCTCTGTTATTACTTGGCTACAAACATTATTGTCAGGCTGTACTTTGAGGTCACTGGAAATGCCACATAAGTTAGGAAAAAAACCTCTTATTCTGTTCAGAATAAGGATTGTGGATTTTGTTCCTCTTCATGAATACGAGGCTGAAGTAGAAGACTTCTGTTAACTCTCACAAAAGGTGTATGGGGAACAGTACAAGACTCCCTACAGTAACTCACTTACATGCCTTGACTAGACCTGGACTACAGCTTTTTCTCCAGCCTGAAAGGCAGTGCAAGCTCTGTTTGATCAGCCAAGTGGCTAACAGAAAGTGAGCGACACCTGTCTGATTTAATTCCACTGGTGAGATCTCTTATCTATCAAAAAGCTACCACAGAGTTAACCTCTTGAGCCTGGTCAGAATTTGAACTTGCTGTGACTTATGGTTGGGGGGTGGTGGTGGGGAAAAGTAAGGAGATGGAGAACCAATATCCCCTAAAGGAATTGCCCTCAAACAAGAGCATGTATTCTCTCCGCTGCTTCCCACAAACCTCTAGGGATTCCAACTCATGACCTGGCTTCTAAATAAAGTGTTGCCAAAGAATTACTTTATAAGAGCCTTGAAACATTTCTCTCTGAATTAAGTTTGCCAAAAAATAAACAAAGCCTTTTTTTTTCCCTATTTGTGCATAGCCCTCACAAACTTTTTGCTTAACAGTCATAAAGCTTCACTTATTTCCCTGCCTATGGCAGGGGGGTTGGAATTAGATGATCTTTGAGGTCCCTTCCAACCCAAACCATTCTATGATTCTATGATTCTATGACGACTATTTAGTATGTCAATAGATCTTATCAATCCTTCTGAAAAAGACTGTAAAAAAGGAGGAAGGATTAATTAATTATCATACCCTTATAACAGTAAAGAAAGGAGCACATAAACCCCAACATTGTCTCCCACCATTTCCAGCAAAATCCTCCAATACAGAAGCTTCTTCATAGAAAAATGCTTTGGCTGATGACAATGGGAACCATTGCAGTCTGGCTTCCCAAAGAAAATTAGTCTTCTCTCTCCATTAAAAAAAAAAGTACAATGCATAAATATCAGGCATAGCATGAAATACTTCAGTGCACTATCCAAAGGGGTTTTGTTTTGTTCTAAACTCTTGATGTAGTTACCTCAGTTGGCCCAGCATACATCATGGGGGAAGGGAATATAGCCACCACTGTTGTTTCCGGATTCAAGATTCCCTCCTCCAGTACTGCAGCATGTTGCTTCATGCGCCACATGAGAGGAACATCATCCTCTTTTGTCCAGCCTCCAAGAGGATGCAGGAGTAAAACTGGGCGCCGGTAGCCACGTTCCAAAAGCTGCTTATGTGTATCTTGCATTAAAAGAGCATGCCCATTGTGCACCGGGTTGCGTAACTGGAATGCAAAGACAGCATCTATGGAGAAAAAACAGACAAAAGACATAAGGAAAGCAAGTTATTTTATCAGGAGTTGTACAACCACAGAAAAAATCTTCAAACAGTACAATCTTTCCTCTGAACTCTATAAAACCTGTATAATAGCAGTAGTCACAGGTCATTGGAGTCTTATGGATTATTATAAAATCATTACACTCAATACGCAAAACTAATAAAAAACAACCATACACAAAACCTCATCAATCAGCTTCCTTCGTTTCTGAGATTTCTGCAGAATTACTCTAGCTTCTCCACTACCTACATTCTTCTCTTTGGATATTTCACTTGCATAAGCGTATAATATAAAATTAAATTCTAAGGAAATCAAACTATGCTACCTGTCTTAAAGGCTCAGTGTATCATCAGGAGAACAAATGGACATGTTTGCAACAAAACAAATAAAAGGGTATTTAATGTGCCTTAATAAATGTCCTTTACCTAAACAGCTTAGTAGAGTTTATGCACAGTAAGAACAAAGCAAGGCTAATTGCTGTTCCAAAGTATTACAAACCCTTCGATGAAAAACCCTGACACAATCAGGATTTCTCCCTTCTGCAAATTAAAATGAACTAGGGCACTCTGCAAGACAGCAAAATGACCAGAACTGAGAGGTTTCCCAATAAGGAACCAATGAAATCTAGAGAACCAGGGTTTTATCAGGTATCAAATACATTTATTTAAGGGCTAGCTAAAAGACTGGTATCTTAAACCTGTAGATCCTGGAAATACTCACCACACGGAAAAAAGACAGGAACTCAGGTCCAATCTTGGTTTGCATTCTTGATATTAATCTCTTCCCTCGTACTTAGAAGTGCTTAGCAGCTGCCTGTCAGTATGTCTGATTGTTCTCTGCTTCATGACATTACTCAGCCTCTTATTTATCTGCCTAACACACTGCTTTAGTGAGAAAAACCATTTTGTTTCTTCCACCATATAAAGCTAGCAGTCAGATAACAATTTTTAACTGCGATACATTCCACTTTGCACTGGTCTACTTGCGTTACTGTCGTAAGCCTTGCTCCCCAGACGCAGCATGGAATAGAGTTAAAAATAGAAGAGCATGAAAACTCAGCACTCAACCATACCTCTACGGTTTTAGCCAAACCTGATGATTTCTAAATCATGTTCTACCACATTTTAACATTTTTAACACTATTTTTTTATCTTTTCTTGCATTAGTAACATGTCCAGTGTGCACAAAAAGCTAAAATGCAGAATCTTCAGGCATTACCAGCTTCTCTTCTGCATTTAGGCAATGCAATGCCTGAGATGATGAAAATGAATATCAGTAAAAGGCAAAGAATGACACCTAAGAAAGCATTCAAAATCTTCATCCTTGCAACAATGCTAGCCCCTGTGGTATTGAGGCAGCATGCATTTGGATAAATCTTTGCAGGAAGAAACAAAACAAGAAAAATTTACTCACCGGCATTCATTTCCTTGAATTTCTGCCTTAGTTCAGTTGGAGTGAGACGGTATTGATCAAGTCCATCATTCCAATAAATACGATCAAGGACCTGCAGATCTCCACCTACAAGCCAGTTCCCTTTCTCCATAACCATCTAAGAAAGAAAAATCTGTGTTAGGATTGGTTGTCAGCTACTCCTGAGCATCCAGAGCATTGCAATGAGGGCACATCTTTACCAAGGGAAGATTCCAGGTTAATTTTATTTGACAGTCTCAAGTCAAGCATTAATGTTTAAAAAAAAAAAAAATCACTGGAACATAGTCCAGACATATTATACCATGGTGCAGGTGAGATGCACAAATCTTCAGTTGGCATACGCCTTTCTTTCAAAAGAAAGTGGTTTTTTTTTTATATATATAGAAATGTAAGTAGTATTCTTTACCAACATTATTACATGACAAAAGGAGATAGTGTCTGAAAAGTCTAACACATTAAGTATTAGTACATGAAGTTGCACACTTTTTAATTGTTGGTCAAAGTAAATGCAGTTCCAGTATCACTCTACAGTTTACAAGATTCTGGTCAGCAATAAAGTAACAAATAAAACAGTTCTGATCAAGTACTCACCCTCTTTAATTTACAAATAAAATCAGAATCTTTGAAGTGGGACAGCTTTTGGGTTTGTTTCACGTTAGCACTCCACCAAGGCACCATATATTGTACACTCACTAAAATTCTTTTGATATCTTCAAATATCACCTCATTCTTTATCAAAAAATAATTAGGGCAAACTGCTTAACATACTCTAGCCATGGCGATAGAAATAACTTAGAAATTCTTAATTTCCAAGAATGCATTTGCTTTTGAAGATGGAACCACAAAAAACTTCCAAGTTCCATACATATCTCTGATAATTTTTTAGCCTTACGTAATTTAAAGGTAACAACAAATGTTGACATAAGCTAAGACATTACATACTAAACCCACAAGCCAAATTGTTAAGTTTGGATTTTTCAATTGACTTTTGCTTTTGAGATAGAGGACCTCCTGGAATGAAATTATGCTACAGTCACCACCTCCTTCACAAAGAAAATGCCAGACTTCAGCATCTTACTAAGGTGGGGGGAAGATGTAATAAAGATATGAAGATGAGAAAACTCTGCACTACAGTAATTCTCAGACATCCAAAGATTGCTGACTAATTTAGAAGGGCCACTAGATGTATGTGCTGTCGTAACATTCATGCACACATTCATATGCTGTCATGATACTACTATATACCCCAGTACAGACATATGAACATAGTTCCTCATCTTAGAATCACAGAACCATAGAATGGTTCGGGTTGGAAGGCACCTTAAAGATCATCTAGTTCCAACCCCCCTGCCATGGGCAGAGAAATCCTCCACTACACCAGGTTGCCCAAAGTCTCATCTAACCTGGCCTTGAACACTTCCAGGGACGGGGCATCCACAACTTCTCTGGGCAACCTGTTCCACTGCCTCACCACCCTCAATGTAAAAAATTTCTTCCTTAGATCTAATCTAAATCTCCCCTTTCAGTTTAATGCCATTGCCCCTTGTCCTATCACTACATGCCCTTGTAAAAAGTCCCTTTCCAGCTTTCCGGTAGGCCCCCTTTAGGCACTGGAAAGCTGCTATAAGATCACCCCGGAGCCTTCTCTTCTCCAGGCTGAACAGCCCCAACTCTCTCAGCCTGTCTTCATAGCAGAGGTGCTCCAGCCCTCGGATCATCTTCGTGGCCCTCCTCTGGATTCGCTCCAGCAGCTCCATGTCCTTCTTGTGTTGGGGACTCCAGAGCTGAACAGAGTATTCCAGGTGGGGTCTCACGAGAGCAGAGCAGAGGGGCAGAATCACCTCCCTCGACCTGCTGCCCACGCTGCTTTTGATACAGCCCAGGACACGGTTGGCTTTCTGGGCTGCCAGCGCACATTGCCGGCTCATGCTGAGCTTCTCATCCACCAGCACTCCCAAGCCCTTTTCCTCAGGGCTGCTCTCAATCCATTCTCCGCCCAGCCTGTACTTGTGCTTGGGATTGCCCTGACCCATGTGCAGGACCTTGCACTTGGCCTTGTTGAACTTCATGAGGTTCTCACAGGCCCACCTCTCCAGCCTGTCAAATCTAATCTTCTACATTAGTATCAGCTATCTCATTCTGTAATTGCTAATGCATTATAACAAAGTCATCCAAATATTCTCTGCATGAGATTTTATTAGAATGTCTTAAATTCTTATTAAATTTTCAATAATGAGGTAATCTTATGTTCATCAGCACAGAACACATCAAGGGCTTTGAAAATCTTCCAGAACACGCGTATTTGTACCTAGCAGATGTCGTCGTTTTTCAAAAATACTCCTGAATACAGCTTCAGTCAGTAAATGGATATCATCACATATTAATAAAAAAATTGGTAAGAAGTCAAAAAATCCATGGTTTTCACATATGTATTATGTATTAAGCATATGTATTATGTATTGCATACATATGTACATGCATATGTATTACATATATTAATACATATGTATATGTATTAGTCATACAGGTACTTTTAGAACACATCAAAGTCTTTCCTTTTTTAAGAGCAAGCTCATAATTTGAGGTTTGTTTGATTTCTCTTTATCTGAGTTTAAGATATAGTTGTAAACAAAAAATCCCTGTAGAGAAATGGGGAAAGAAATATATCTTGGCTGTGCAGAGCTCAGATGCAACATCAGCTTGCAAAACCAAACACAGCATTGCAATGAGTACGTTACAATTAGAATGCTTCAGTACGACGTACACATAAAGTCAAGATAATAAAAAGCACTGAACACAACGGATGGGAAATAACTCCCCAGAGTGTTAAACGGTGAACTCTCCTGGAACGGGGCCTATTTCAAAAGCATTTAAACCTGGCAGTTCTCATGTGCACTATATGCAAGCTGAAGACAAGTTTTCTTGCCTTCACAATTCGTATATCCACTGATTAAGGAGCTTTGATGTGGATACACAGAAGGATGTGTTTCCTAGGCACACAAGAGGGCAAAGTTCCCTCTTCTGTAGCACAGATTCTCCAGTACATTCTAAATTCATTTCATGTGTACATATTGACATTAGATTTTCACATTGAGTGCAGACTATTCAACAGCTACATAGAACGAAAGGAAAAAAAAATCACCTTTCTTTCTGCTCAAATGTTTTAAGTAGTTTTGCTGTCGAAATACACCAGTCAGACATCAGCTTCCCTTAATCTGCAGCTCCACGAATAGTACAGCTAATACGACTAGATTTTCAACTTTTAAACACACACCTTGATATAGGGATGTTCCTTGCATGTAGTTCCCCATTGCCTGGCACAGCGTTCCTCTTTCCTGTGCTCGTAGAATTCAGGATTACGGAGAATGGCCACGCGGCGACCTTCATACACCAGTGCAATCGCTGTACATCCATCCAGTCTTTCTTTGTCTTCTTGAGTAGCCGTTAGCACTATAGGCACTGACAGATTAATAACTCCCCCTGCAGAGTGAAGAGAAGAAAAAAAAGCCCTCATCCTTAGTAATGGTCATCAATGATGATACGAAAACCTACCTCCTAACAAGTTACAGTTCAGGCTGTAAGCGTATCACACAACAGATAGTTCAAGTACTTATTTTAACAGGGGTTAAAAGCAACTTTTATAATGAACTCTTGCATAAGATATGTGTGCTATAAAAATGTGCAAGTACTGAGGTTTGAGAAAAAGCAAAGACAGTACTGAAAATAGCAAGTACTTACAGCTGCACACAAGTATTTATACTGTGGGGATGCTACTTTTTTGGGAATCTCAAATATCTTGTTCAAAAAGCTATATAGTAAGCAGAAATACACAACTGACATTTTTAAACAGATCATCTAAAATATTAGGCATGATTACTACTGGAGTGGACAATAGAAAAAAAAAAAGCAGCATTCTCAATAGTCATACTTTCAGTCGACAAGAGAAGTTCAATGTGACAGAAGCAGCCAAACGTACCCAAGTAGGCAGCGTATATAATTCAACTGTTTCAAAAGGTGACTTTTGTTGTTTACTTAAAACTGTATTCAGATTCAAGCACATATATTTCAGAAAAAAAACCTGTTGAGTCAGGCAGACATTTTGCATACTTTGTTCAGCTGAAAGTTTACTTTACTTCTAAAACTAAACCAATGTATCTGAATTTTAAGGTTATGTGTGGTCCTCATTTGTAAGCATCTACTTCACTGCTAGATGCTGGAAGTCTTGTTTTTCTTGACTACAAGAGTGAGATTTGAAAAACCCAGAGGAGTAAATACTGCAAGTCTCATACAAAGGCTTGAATTCTAATGAGCATACATTCACTGAAAGAGCACAAAACTTTTGGGTGGTGTCCAGGAGAAAAGTCATGGAGTCCTTGGAAGTATAACAGGAGTTTTGCTATCGGCTTTAGTGAGGCCAGGACTCTAAATAAGGCTGATTTCCCTGTTATTTGAGCAATACGTTTTTTTATAAACATCTCTCAGTTTTACCTTAAATGCGGTAGGAAGTTAAAAATTATGAAGCTAGATCAAAAGTTTAAGACAAAAACAGGTGCCCCCTTCCTTCATAATGCAAAGTGAAAAACATGCTGCGCATCTTCTCCTAAATTCAGTCTTAGTGCTCAGGGTTCTTTTCACAGCAACTAGGTCATAAAATTGAGCTTGGCAACAGTCACAGAGAAGGTGATTTGCCACCCCTAACTTGATGATTTAAAAATTCCTTTTGCTTTGTGAACAATTAAATAAATATTTCAAACTGGGAAGAGATCTCAAACCTGTTGATTATTAAAATTTTGTCAGTGACTGACAATAAATATATAATACCTTTGACATCTGTCTTCAGCCACTGCACAAATGAGAAACTGAGGCAAGGTGGTGGAGTGAGTTTGTTAAGTCACAGATGAGCACAGTGTCAGCTTGAGACTATTTCAGATAACTTAAGCTTTACAGTGAGAATATCAACACACCTGCGCTGATCTCCATAATGTAGAAGTCAGTCGGTAGGAACATTGCATTTAGAGGCCAAAGGATGAGATGCATTGCAGGAATTAAACAATTTCCCTCACTTCAAAATCAAAACCTTGGGAAATGACTGCTGCTGTGAGACTCCAGAACTAACATATCAAGCAGGGTGGAAACTTTCAGGATGTTGTTTTGACTTAACCATTGCCACTGCTTCAAGTAGCAAAGCAGCTCACATATAAATGTTGCAGTAGATATTTAAGAATAGGAAATGTGGTAGCATGTAAAGGATCATGACTGTTCTATTCAAGCCTGGGACAGAAAATTGTTTCCATCAGTAAGTTATTCATTATTTTTCATTACTCATTTTTTGCAACACACAAGAGGTACTAAAAACAATTGCAAGAGAAGTTTAAAAACTTGTGATATTGCCATATCTGAAACACTCACCTATACAAGGTCTTATAAATAAGTTCTGATTTACAAGAGATTACAGGACAGAATAAGGAGCTACAAGCTACTTTAGCAGTTGAATGCATAGCATGTCATTTGCAGAATACGTTTCATCTGCATGGACACACAGAAGGCAAATGGAATGAAAACACAACTATCAGTCCAAAACAATACTGCAAAGTTTAGATACTCCAAAATAATAGGATGGCATTATGTTGCCTAGGATAGTATCTGAGAGGCTTACAGAAAAAGGAACTAGAAAACGTAAGAGGGACAACAGACGTCTGGATCATAGAACTGAAAGACAAGTGAATTTTTTTTTTTTTTCCTGCTATTTGGTCTCCAGCAAGAGAAAAGTAATGCAAAGGAAGCAGGGAGACAGGAAATTTTACTATCGTCTTTGATACAGAGAGTGCAAAGAAAACTTAAAAGGCCAGAGTAAAACAGAGCCTTCCAAAACGGAGTAAATGAAAAATGACAGGGGATCACAATCAAATTCCAAAACCTGAGGATGATATCACCTGTTGACTACCTTAACTAACGCTTGCTCTTAGCCAATTGGTAGTGCAAAATAAAATACATTTGTTTAAATAATCACAGGATAATTACTAAGTCACAGTAATTCAATGACATGTGACAATTGTCCATACTTAAGTCACCTCCTCAAATTCTGATTTCATACTTGCAATAGCTCCAGTGCTCGAGTCAGTTTGTTGTCCTTTCCTTCATTACCATTATGGAACACATCTTTTTTGATTAAACAGAGCTAAAGAGCAATTAAATTGCAATACTGAATTCTAAAATCAATTTCTTCAAAACAAATTAGAAACATGGATTTTAGGTTTATATGTTTTTCAAAACATTTGAAAAATATAATTTGTAAAGGCCAAAAGACAAGTCATTAAAACTCTAACATGATGGTAGATACAAAAAGAATAAAACCATCAAGTTTAAAACTGATGATTATAATATCCTGGTGTCTTTCCCCAGGTTGTCCACAAGCCTGATAACCTCTTACCACATGACCACTAAGACACAAAGCATCAACAATTACTTCTAGAAGTAGGATTTGTTTGCTCAGTTTTACACATGGTAAATTTTACCCTACCATCGAGGAGACAGTCAAAGTGAAGGCACTGTAGGTATTCTCTCTCTCTCATAAAGCCATTCAGGGGTGTTGCCCAACCTTCTGCTAGTACTTGCACCCATTGCATATCCACCTTGTGAAGAAATGGAGAAATAGACTTAGAGCAGATAATAGTTGTTACTTAATGACTGACATCAGGTATTAATCATAATAGATCATAATTTACCCATAATATGCAAAACGGTATAAATAGAAGATTTCTCAGTATTAAAGTTTTTAATCACAAAGAATTCAAAGTTGCTACAAGTAAGAAAAAAAGAACAACTTGTTCCTCACTGCTCATATTTTTGGCTATCTTCAAGGTCAAATTTCCATGTGTTAAAAAATGAACAACCCACAATAATAAACTTTCTGTGTAAATGTTTGATAAAGTTCAACTTGTGTTAATTTTTTTAAAAAAGCAAGATAGCCAAGAGACAAAATAGGAAAAAAAAAAAAGAAAAATACCACATACAATTACCACAAAAATATCAGAATTATGGACATGAATATTAAGAGGTCTAATCTTAAAACAGATTAGAAAGAAATCTTTTATTGCAGAAAGTGGTGAGACAATCCACAAGTAAAACTCTCGTGGGACTAGTGCTTATTTTAGTTTAAGAGGTATCAGCCTCAGAGACTGATTCCCTCAGAGGGAATTTCCTTCCTTAGCACTTGAACAGTCACACTATGACTCTGTGTGTGGCCGCTATTATTTCTGCACGTGTGTTACTAAGACTTGATCAACTCTTTGACAAGGACAGCCTCTGCTTGCGCAAGTCCCTTTTGCAAAGAGCATGACTAATTTTATTACGCTGTTTAATTTATGCTGAGGCGAGTACAACACACGTTTTCTTCCCAAGCTTACGTTATATACTTGCTTGATATTTAACAAACCACTGGGTGGAGGGGGAAGGGTTTGTTTTTTCTAGATAGGGAGCAATTTAGAACAGGACACTACAGAAATTTAATAATGGTGACCTTAACTATTTATTTCTCAGAAAAGCAATAAATAGTTTTACAGACGCATATGTGAAAGGAATTTAGTAAGATGCAGTGAAAGGAAGTATTAAAATATATTAATAGCAGAAGGCTAGAAAAATTTTAGAACTATTTAATTCAGTGCTTAGCATGTTGTCTCAATCCTTCAAAGTCCAGTTACTCACTGCAGATGCCCAACTCTGAGTTTAGTCAGCTCCTAGGATCCTTAGCTTTAAGTTCTAGTAATACTGTCAAAAAGCCAGTGAAAACATTCATGCATTGTATCTATGTTTAGGCCTAATTCTTCAGAAAAAGAAGATGAGGTAGAACAGAAACACAGCCAGAAGCAACTTTTTCTAATTTATCTGAGTTGGAAAATAATGCATTTAACCAAAATTAAAAGAATTGATCAAGTTGATCCATGCTTTTCCATAGTTTCTCTGCTGGAAGCCAGAAAAGTAGCATGAATATATTCTCACCAGAAAAAAAAAAACAAAAAAACATATAAAGTAGATCTGATCATCTCTCTGTAGACTTAAGTTTGCAACTGTTTGAGTCTGGTATATAAGTTTACTATTGTTCGGCTCAATGTTACCAAAGAAGAGAATCAAGAAGCAGTTACTGATTTCCTTCATATTTCCAGGTGATTACAAGTTAGAATAAAATGGTTTGTGTAAGTAAATTAAAAAATAATTTAGTAATTTTCTAGAAACAACTACTCATACAAGAATGCCAGGCATGATTTAGTCCACGGATGGTAGGGGACGAGGAAGAGCACAGGAGGAAGTCACTGTAAACTTAATCTCCAGGCTTGGTATAAACTAAGTAACACTATATCAGGCATTATTTATGAAATTATGATGATCCAATTGTTATCTCTAGTAAGCAATCAAAGAAAACACAGATGCTGTGATTTCTCTCAAGAACAGTGAAAAAGTATATCAAGATACTTTCTGTAACTAATACAGGTATTTTGACTACACCTTCTTCCGCTGAGCAGATGGACTTTCAGTTTCAACAATGAGACAACTGCACACACAATACCTTATTTATTTCCAAGGTTAACAGAGATTCAGCATCAGTTTTGGCCAACTGTAGCTTGTTTTCTGGCACATAAAGCTCTTTCACCTCATGAGAGGCATCCACTGGTACAATATCCTGTATAAAGGAATGAACAAAACTTACTGTTTACTCAGAATGCTTCATGGACACTGAACACATGGTCAAGAAGTAAAATTCTAATGTTGTACTACTCTGTAGCAAGAGTTTATTAATTTAGCAATTTTGATTCATTTAAAAACTAGTACTGTTCCAAGATTATGATGTATTGCTAGCCAAGATGCTGGCTTGAGCAACTAATTTGAAACATTCTGACAAGATTTTTTTCTAAACCTCAAGTACCCCATAACATATACCTAGTAAATATTTAACTACTGCAATTTAAGTGCAAGTTTTCATCACTGATTAATACCTACATTACCTACAGCAGGCCGTACTTGCTATAGTATACTTGCCAAAGATGGGAAAAAAAAGATTTGAGGGACTGAGCATTTATAAATTTAAGTCGTTCACTATACAACATACACCAGAAGCGGTAACATGGAGGTGAAAAAAAACCCAAACACTCTCTTTCCTCAACTGAAAGTGATTAATACAGCAGTACAAATTAAATGTACTACCTACAGCTAACAACATAACACCAGTGTCCTAATCTATATACTGAGAACATTTAAATCTGAAGCCATCTGTGCATATACATATATATGTAATGAAGTGAAACCTAGTTTTATAACCAGAATACCACAAAATAGCAATTTTTTATTTGAAAAAAAATAAGTTTTCCTCCATGTGTTTTAAACAAGACATTCTCACTCCACAATGCTCAACCTTAAACTTCTCATAAGAAATGAGCATAACAATAAAGATGTAATTTTTTTTAAAAAAAAAGGGGGAAGAAGGCCATCATGATAAAATTTGAAAGAGTTTCCTCTGACAAAAGATGGTATAAAGTGTCAAAACCCAGTCAAATGTTGCAGTGATATTCAGTAGCCAAAAAATCAGTGAAAAGCAGCTGACAGTTCTTTCTAAAACAGGTTTTTCACAGTTTTGGAACCTTTTGTAAAGTAATGCTTTACTGTTTCAGAAAAAAAAAAAAGTTCATCCTTACAGCAACGTATGTACAGACCCATAACAAGTTTAAAGAAATTATCTTCATTTTTCCAATATATGCAAGCTCAGAGTAAGCAGGTACGCCTGTAGGAAACACAAAGTTTGCCCAAGCATTTTAAAGCAATTATTCAAGTAGTTATCAGACATTAGGCATTACCTCCATGGAAAGTAAAACAAAGGGAGTAGGATGATGAAAGCAAGTGGGAGATAAAGTGACCTTGGGAGTAAAAAGACATGGTGAGCCTCACTGGCTGTTACATAATTCATATCTCCAAAGACAAACAGAAGGAAAATAAATTAATCTAGCATTAGAAATTGTGTTTTATAAGGAAAAGCTCAGTCCATTACATACCAGACATCATTTGGGACACTGATTTAATTAAGCAGTAAGGTAGGCAACACCCACTTTCTATTTTCTCGGCCTGAGCAGCAGCATTACAGCCCAGGAGAGCTGATGCAGGGCAGACTTCTGCCACAGCAATAACCCACAATCAAAGAACTGTATTGCCTGCCCTGAAGAAGAGCAGACCTTACAAGCAAGTGTAATGACTGAGCACACAGTATGCTGCTTGCCCTCTGGACCTAGCTCATTACCATGCTAGAATGTCCTAATTTAACAAACCATCAAAAGCTTAAAATAAATGTGCCTATTAAAAAGGTCTCTTCAAATATTATCCTGTTTTTAGTGCCACACTAATGGGCAAAACAATGGATAAAACAAAGGTTTCAAAATGCAGTTTCTGTCAACAACCTACCTCATTATAAGGATGTCAACAGCTTGAAGACAGTTCTAGCAAAACACTCAGACATTTAGAGAATCTGTAGGGTTAGCAAACATATACTCCCTTGCAGACATAAAAATGGTATTTAAACCAACATTTTAGATTTGGGGAAAAAAAAAAAGAAAAAGAAAAACAGCAGCAAGAGGAATCCGTAGGTCTTTAAACTGTCTGAATTTTATGAAAATGCTGGGCTAGCAAGCCATCTAGCGACCACTTTAAGGTAGTAACTTTACTCAAAGGTTCATTCTACCCAAGGACAAGCTGCACAACATTCCTCAACATTTATTATTTCTCAATGCATTTATATAAATAACAGCAAAATAACGAAAAAATAAAACCTAGATGCTTTATGGGAATGTGCCTCCTCAGTCTGCACTGGTAGGTTCTTTGCTGATGCCATCTAACATCCTCAAAAGTCTGCAATGAAAGGGCCTTTCAGGCAAGTTTTTGGTAGGTATCATCCAATTTAAATTACTGAATGACTAGTCTTACAAACTCATATTAATTGAAGGTGCAAGGCCACTGAATTATTCATATATGAAAAAAAATAAACAGAAGTATTTGCTTAACTATACTAATCACTGAAGGTTTGATACTTTTAGCTTGCAGGGAAGTATGGGGAAAACTGAAAACTGCAATGACAGCCATTATGTTGACAGAGTGAGGTACTATTTTCTGGAGTGAGGGCCTCTTGTCTGCCCATCAGTTGTGTTCTATCACATTTTAAATTCACTTAAGCCATAGAAAAACTCCTCCTCTTGTGCCAACAAGAGGAATTTCTGATCCAAGCCATTCACTGCTGTTTCTCTCAAACATGTTAAGACGCCCTTTACACATGTGTTTTGGTCAAAATAATTCATGTTTAGCTTACACAGTACATTTGTATCAAGTTAAATTATTTTGACCAAAAACATCTAGGAAATACTGATACAAACCTATCAGCCAGCTGATCTAACTGGATAATTGTTGTCAATCAGAGTCTCTGCAATTAACATAGAATGACTCTGAACCAAAAATCTTATCTGTGCCTTTTCCCAGAATACAGAAGTTAAAAACAAGAGAAGAAAGCAGAAGAAATAAGCAACAAAACCAACACCATCACAGCCTTTAATGATTATACTGTGACTGAAGCTTGTTCTTTAATAAATAATTCCAAAATTATACACGCTTTTTTACCAATTTGAGCTACTGAAATCTATTTCTATAACATTCAGTAGCACATTTTCAGAAGAAAACAACCTCAACTAAAGCACACACACCTCAAAAATAGGAAATCCATAACTTAAGACACACAAAGTTCTGCTTACTTTCCTAAGGATGAGAAGAAATCAGTGTTTTATTGATTGTGGGAATTACAGAAGTTGAACACGTCGATGTTGTTTTTTTAAATTATGCTTAAAAGCTTATACCAGTTTCTGCTCACTCTGGCTTACATCTTTACTGGTTTGTGTTTAAATCTTCACTGTAACAGTATAAAACCAATAGTATAATCTTGCATGTCCTTTACATAGGGCGTGTTTTTTTTCCCCAGCTTCTCACACAAAATAACTATTAGCCTTATCACAGAATCACAAGGTGGGCCTCTGGATGTCATCTAGGCCATTCGCCAGCTCAAAAATGGTCCCAGTACAGCAGACTGCTCAGGAACTTGGCCAATCAAGTTTTGAATATCTCCAAGGGTAGAGCATCCACAGCCTCTCAGGGCAACTTGTTCTAAAATTTAATCATCTTTACAGTGAAAAGGTGTTTTTCCCCTATGTCTAGTCTGAATTTCCCATGTTTCATCTCATGCATGTTGCCCCTCATCCTACCCTTGCGCACCTCTGAGAAAAGTCTGCATCATCAGTCTTCTCTATAGGCTCCCATTGGGGTGCTAGAAACAGCAACAAGACCTTCTTTAGCCTTCTCTTCTTTAGGCTGAATAAGTCCAGTTTCCTTCAGCCACTCCCCATACAGCGACATGCTCCAGCCCCTGACCGTCTTGGTGGCCTTCTGCTCAACTCACTGTAGTACATCAATGCCTGTCTTCTACTGGGTGAGGGAGAAAGGCACAAACCTGGACACGGTATCTAGATGAGGTCTCACAAGTGCCACATAAAAGCACAGAATTGCTGCTCTTGACCTGCTGGCTATGCAGCTGGCCTTTTTGTTGCCTGGGCACATGTTTTCATAACACTGACAAATATTTTTATAATGCTGAACAATTTATTTCAGTTCTCTTGTATCCTCCTCATGTCTGAGGAAGAGAGAGACTTCGTTTAATTATCAAAAAGGTGAGTAATTCCATACAATGTCAGAATACATCAAAGTTAAAAGGTCGGTATGCTGCAAGTTAATATCATTGTGCTGTGTTTCATATTAAATGCTTACTTCCAGCATTATAAACCATTTACAAAATCCCCATGGTCTGCTCTTGGTTTTACAAATCCTGGTTAGTCCCACCCAATCACCTTTTGCTGTAGGTGTTTGGTTTGAACAGCATCCAAACAAATAACAGTTGTATTCATACAAATTTTCTGCTGAAATGATTTTGAAAGCAGGAGGAGACAGGAAACCAAGTTTCAGGTAAAATAATGATTTAGTACCCAGCCAGTAGCTGGGTATAATCAATTGTGTCAAACATACCATGCTGAGTGCCTAATTTACGGTCAAATAATGAAAAAGTGGGCTGAAGACCTGTAATGCCTGCTCTACATGAATGCTACAGATATTAAAAATACTAAGCTCCCATGTTTGCAAGTTTCTCAATTAAAAAAAGATAGTGAAAGATGGTTTAGAGCCTGCTATAACTCACGTCGATGACCAAGGTGATCACACAAAGTATTCTTTATTATCAAACTTTTGAAACATGAACGAGGAACTAGACAAGACTGAGAACTTTGCTCCATAATGAATCATTGTATTGTTACAGTCATAGCTGCAGTATAATTTGAGGTAAAAAAAAATTACAAATGTACAGAACAGCAGAATCCATTTCTACATATTTTCCAGGAACCACCAGCCTCAAGCTTCACATCTTAACAGAAGAGACTGCCCTTATAAACAACAACAACAAACAACCCCTAACTACTCTGCTTCAAATTCTCACTGCTCCAAAACACAGAATTTGAACACAATTGCAGGGAATTGTGTGAATATAGCTAGGAGGAAATCAGTACTCTAAGATACCACGAGGACCACCTTCCCCAATGCAAGTATAACACTAAGCTTAGATAAGAACTTGACTGTAACTGTTGAGGGATGGGTGAGAGATGGGCAAAGAGACAGCAAGTTTATACATACACTCACAGTGGATTGATCTAAATTGAAGTGCATAATCAGATTCCAGTTTGGGGGTGGTATCTGGAGAGTTGCCGTAAGTTGATGTCTCTAAGAATGGGTCTCTCTGTTTATAGAAAGTGAGTTTAAAGTTTAAAGTTACCTACTGGAAATACAACTCCTTCCTTGTACACTTTCGCACTTCCTGAACAATAAAGGTGGCGTTCCTGAGCTATGACTTTTTCAGAAAATATTTTCTGAGCTAAATATTTAACTTCCTCCATAGTAAGGAAATATGAACCTTGGGCAACGGCTAGATCAGCTGTACTTGTTGACAGGAAAAACAAGAATGAAAACAATTAGATCTTTACAGCCAAACACCTGCATTAGGCTTATCTGACTCCATTGGAAGATATCAGCAGGTTGAAAGCGAAATTTATCAAGCTCAAAAGCCGTATGAGCCTTTCTGACAAAAAAAAATAAAACCAAAACAGAAACAAAAGTGTGCAAGCACTGATTTGTATAGTACTGGAAGCAGCTGGGGGTGGGGGGAGGGAAATAAATAACTTTTCATATGACTCACACTCAGTAGCTTTAGGAGATACTCATCAGTACCTTGCATTCTAGGTCCCTAAAAAGAACTTTGAAGTATCTATTGCATTTACATGCAAAGTAACCAAACCAGGTGACTCTCAAAACCAAATTATACCACCTAAGAACTTTCCAGATTCAACAGCTGCTTATTACTGCTACTTCTGTGTGGTTACCTCCCTTTTTCTTTCATAAAGGATTGAATATGCTTTTGGAAAACATTTGATAAATTTATTTCAGAGGTCTTTCCAAATATTATGAAAAATCCTAAGCATCAAACAATTCCACTACCTATAGAAGAAAAATGTTTCAAATCCTTGATTAATAAATATGTGTGCATCTATCTCTATCTCAACACACATTTATACAGTTCCAGCTGTCTTCTCTTCACTCCCATTATTGTCTGAATTGGCATAAAACAGGCCTTGAAATTCACAGATTACCAATACTTTGAGCAGACTTCTTCCCAAAGTTTTTCACAGCTACTGAAACAAAGCAAACATCCCAAATTATTTTTAATTCTGCTGGCCTATCGTCTTTTTCTTTACTAATCACAATGGATTATTAAAGAAGAACACAGCCACAGCTTGTTCCAACTAAAGGAGATCTACAGAAATTATATTCTCAAGATATCACTGTAATAATATAACCTGAGAAGAAGACACGCCTGTTCAGACATGCCTTGGTCTCCTTGTCTTTCATTAAAGTAAGCAGCCACTAAGATATTCTGGCATTCATGACACTGTTGTCTGTAAAGAAAGAAAAAAAAAAAGTGCTAAAATGTGCCTTAAGCAAAGGACAGAGCAAAGCTTTCTGGGCCAGGAGCCAGCATTCAGCACTGTGTACCAAGTGCACTAGTGCAAGACTTTGGGGATCGCTATCTTGGCACACGTGACATTGGTTTCTACAATTATGAAATGTACCAAATTGTTCTTCTCAGCAGGAGGCACAGGGCGTCTCACAGTCAGGATCACAGGCAGGACTCCTACATAGCTCTTTGTTTTTTAATTCCAAAAAACATTCAGATGAGCATTAGGGTAAAAATCTAAAATTCTGATGTGGTTTTCTGCCCTGTCTTATCTTCTGAGCAACCTTGAGCAAGCAGTGATCTATTAACAGAGTTTTCTTGAAAATTTAGATACAAAAGACTAAATCTCTCCCGAGCTGTACTGGCACAGAGGATTAACATTAACTCCATGCTGGCTACACGATGAGGTCTTTTGCTTATACCAACTTCAACACTTGGTGGAGGTTTACTCAAGCCTACACTCTAAATTTCCAGAACATCCACCTTGCAAAAAAACAGGAATAATTGTCTGCTAGAGTATCTAAACTAAAATAATGGTCTGAAAGGTCATCTCACTATCCACTGACTATAGCTAAGAATGTAAGGAGACACATTTCTTCTACATGAAGATTTGCAAATTCTGGAGGTATGGTTGCAAGAGGCTAAAGCCATCTCAGGGCTGCCTTCACTTTTAGTGAATTTTAGGTTTGGGGGTTTTGTTTGTTTTCTGTGGGTGGTTTGTTGGGCTTTTTTGTTTGTTTATTTGTAGGGTTTTTTTGTTTGGGTTTTTTTTTTTCAGTTGGGTAATTAGCTGAATCTACTTATCAGGCAACAGGAGGAGGCCCAAAGGCTTCAAAAGGGATGGCATAGACTGCAGGCATTAGCAAGGAAAAAGACCTACCTTTTCAGAAGTTATGAACCATTAACTCAACTCAGCCATGTCAAGATCAGCTTCCTGAACTGATCATTATACAATTACAGGACCACTTTTATTAGTGCAAGATAAACACTGGAAACCAGACACAACCACAGCAGCCCCTACTTAAGCCAGCTCACATTACCGTGTAAGTGCATCCCTGTCTTCACTTCTGCAGTATATATTAATTTGTACGCTATAGAGACAAAGTAAAAAGTTTCAGACTCTTACAAATGCTGGTGCCCATTTTCAAAGTTGGTTTTCATCACTGGTTCTGTAACAGACAGCCTTCTCTCCCTTCCAGTTAGCAGTTATGATAATTAACATAAATTTATTTTCCACTTGTCCAACTCTTATTTCACTTAGAGATCAATGTTATTGCAATGTTCAAGTTTAAAAAGGAAACACACAATAGGACAAGTTTAAAAGCTAGAATTTAAAGATGTATGAAGCTTTAACTCTTAAAAACTCTCTGCTTTTCCCAGTACATACATTCAGATTGCAGCAACAAATGCTTTGAAAAAAGTTACTAAGATAGTTCCAACCCCCCCATGGCAGGGGGGTTGGAACTAGATGATCTTTGAGGTCCCTTCCAACCCTAACAATTCTATGATTCTATATATATGCACTTCCACTCACCCTCTCTTGAAGAAGTTCCACAACTTGTTGTATACAATCATTCACATCACAGGAATCAGTTTTCAGCACAAGCTCTGGGGCTTCTGGTTTTTCATACTCAGAGTCAATCCCGGTAAAACCTACAGAATATACGACAAAAATCTTAAGTGACTTTTTCCAAAAGATGACTCAGTTTTAACATTGTTCACAGACAGTTTTCTAGATATAAACCGCAAGCAACAAGAGCACAAATTTAAAGTTTCCTGAATACAGGACTTCTTAGGCAAATCAATAGCTTTTTTCTTTATCAGACCATCTATCATCATGGAGCTACTGAAGCAACTCCAGAGGAGGGCCACGAAGATGATCCAAGGGCTGGAGCACCTCTGCTGTGAAGACAGGCTGAGAGAGTTGGGACTGTTCAGCCTGGAGAAGAGAAGGCTCCGGGGTGATCTTATAGCAGCTTTCCAGTACCTAAAGGGGGCCTACAGGAAAGCTGGAGAGGGACTTATTACAAGGGCGTGTAGTGATAGGAAAAGGGACAATGGCTTTAAACTGAACGAGGGCAGATTTAGATTAGATATAAGGAAGAAATTTTTTACATTGAGGGTGGTGAGGCAGTGGACCAGGTTGCCCAGAGAAGTTGTAGATGCCCCATCCCTGGAAGTGTTCAAGGCCAGGTTGGATGAGGCTTTGGGCAACCTGGTGTGGTGAAGGGTTTCCCTGCCCATGGCAGAGGGGTTGGAACTAGATGATCTTTAAGGTGCCTTCCAACCCAAACCATTCTATGATTCTATGATTCTATCTGCTAATCCTGCTACACGACTGCATCAAACTTCAGTATTCTGCAGCACACACGTAGCACATTTTCCCTGGTGAAGTTATTTGATTTATATGGTGAATAAAGAAAGGAACACTGGCAGAAGAACTGTGCATATCAACCCGGAACTAGTAATCCATCAACTGTCCTTTATTATTAACTGTGATTGTTTGGTTTGGTTTTTTTAACACAAAGCCTGATGTTGAACGACCAATATATATGTAAATTTACACTCATACCACCAAGAAGTACTCTGAAGAGTAAGGAATTCCAACACCTATTACATTAGTTTAGCTAATATACCCATCTTAAGACAGCTGTTACTGCAAGGTAGATCTGTGCGTTTATTACAGTTATAAAAAATATTATCACAGACTGTACAAGCTACCAGTGACACTTGTTCTGGCCTACTTAGTCAGCAATTTGCTTTGAAACAGAGGAGATTCTGACTAACCATGCATAAACAAGAAGGAAAAAAAAAAAAATCAAGCCCAAAGGCAAAGCATGCAAGCACTACAAATCAGATCTGCAGCAGAAATACCAGCCAGGTACAATTGCAAATGCAAACATTAAAACTCAAGCTTTTCACTTTGGGCTTAAATACTCTCAAAATCAGTAGCTTAATTCCCCACCTAAGAAAAAGATCAAGAGCTGCAGTACCCCTGCCATGCGACAAAAAAAGGCCAGTATCTGTTCGAAAAAAATGTGTATCTGATTACTGGAGGAGTGGGAATAGGGGGCAAAGAAAGTGTCCCATTACCATTGCTGGAGAAAAAGAAGATAACTGTTACAGATGTTCCTTGTGAACAGGCAAGTTCATTTAATTTTCATCCTTCATATGTCAGATATGTCATAAGATACAGCCACTGCTAGATCCACTTGTAGCTAACTCAGGCACTGTATACCTCACTACCACTTCTAAAGTCACATAATTCCATTATGGGTCTTGTAAAATTAACAAAATATTAAGGAAGTTCTACAGCACAAATAAGATTTCTGTACAGAACTCTGTCTTTGTATCGTGCTATCTCAAGTCATCTTGCTTTGATTCTGATCAAACCTTAATTCAGCCTTATTTATTCCTGTTCTTCCCACGATATAATTGGTAGTGGTAGAAGTATCAAGTAACCAGTCATGTGGAATGTCTCAGATTTCTTGATTTTTATGTCACTTTGATTAAGGGTGAGTTTGTCATTGCCGCATCTGCAAACTCAGCCCCTGAAAGCGATTACTTCAAAAACTGCTTTGCTTCTTAATACAGGTAAAAAGTGCTATTCTCAAGCTCTGCAAACTATAAAATAAACACAGAGCAAAGAAGCACTTGAAAATACTTGCAATGAGTGATCACATATTTAAGCCTTTTTTAATTGCAGGCTGTACTTAAATCTTTATCTGAGGCTAGGGATAGGAAATCATTTTCATGGGCACTAGCGTAGAACCCTAATTTCAAACTAAAAGTTAGTCTTTTCAGAAGTGTTCTTAATGGTCTCCACAGAAAGATAGTGATCATGCTTTACTTTTTGGAAGAAGTTAGAAACTCTTATTAATGCAATTCTTTATAGGGTTTAGAGAGAATCGGGCTCTTTTTTAACTAGTCAATAGACACACTAAGGAGACAGACTAATCCTAAATCTTAAGAGCTTGCAATAGCAACCATGCAATCTGCTCAAGGTTTTTCGATGTGAGGGTAGCCAGTTTTACCCTTTCATTATCCTATGCATATAACTAGTCAGTTGCATGAGCTAGAAGGGAATCCAAATTTTCTGATCAGTCCTGTCCCCAGAACATGCTGCATTTAAGGGTGGTACACTCACACACTTGAACACATCCAAATTACACCAATGTTTCATTTATGTAGAAAGGATGGGACTACATCTAGGTTCACCTTTAATTTCTCCAGCTCTGGCTTTCTTATAGAGTCCTTTAACATCTCTCTGCTCACAGACATGCAATGGAGCATCCACAAACACTTCAAAAAAAGGCAAACTTGCCCCTTCATGAATTCGTCTGGCGTTATTACGATCCTGAAAGAAAACAGAAAAAACCTCTAAAAAATTGCACCCACATATTGTTACTGCCTTTCTGATTTCGAAGTTCATTTTAAAGCAGCTGACAGTAAAATGTAAACAAGTTTTCAAAGTTCGAAAAAATAAACATATTTGATCAACTGATGCCCTGCAAGCTACATCAGTTGGGCTACAGTTCATCATATGGTAAAGGCTGACACGAAGATCTGAGATACTTCACATTAGCTTGATTAACAAAAAAAAAATAAACACATTGAGGCATAGAATGCAGAATTTTCTATATCTGCCCCTATCTTAAGAGTTACATCCCCAGCAGTGACATCTGCCCAGCTCACTAAAGTCAGAGGAGGTATTACCTGCTTCTCCTGATATGACCACTCTTCTCTCCAGAGCACCACATTTCTCTGCGTTCATTAATCTGACAAGACTTGTATACTCCAAATATTATTTGTGTGGCTTGCCAGACATTGAAACAATTGGTGAATTTCATTTAGAGAACAAAAAAAATTTCAAAAAATCCACTAAAACCATCTCTTACTAAATATGGTTATTTTTCCTCATATCTAAAGACTTCTGGTTTCACTGCAGGATCTTCAGTTCCCCAAATTATTATCAGAAGAACTGTTTGTGCCACTATAACTGAAGAACTAACACCTTCTCACGCCATGAAACATCTGAGCTACAGCCCTGGGTCATTCTTCAAGACACTTGGTGTTCACACATCCTTTTTGACTCTCCCACCCATGTTCTTATATGCAGACGAAAAAAATCTACACAAAACAATACGAACGTGAATTTAAGTTAATTTTCAGTATTATCTAATGTCATGTTGTATATATAGCATGAAATAAAGTAAAAAGAACTACAGGTAATTAAACATTTTTCCCTTAATCCACTTTGTAAAATACAGCTCATGCCATTCATTCACTGAAGGAAAAGATGCTTTAATAATTTAAATTATTTAAATAATTTAACTGAGTTTCAGGTTATGGGTACACCTAGTTTTCATATTTATAAAGTACTGGAACCTACACGGATCAAACAAGATATTGTAATTTTAAAACTCTTTCTTGAACTATCATTTGGGTTTGTTCCCAACATTTGATTAATAATTATTCTTAATAGACTGAAGGACAGTTACAATTATAGGACTAATGCAAACTTTTTTATATTTGCGATTAATGTTTCTGAAGTTTTAGTACTCATCTCTAGAAAGTACAGATGTCAAAAAAAAAAAAAAAACAAACAAACAAACAAGCAAGCATTTGATTCTGGCTCAGTTCAGCGAGGGATTCCTAAAATTAAAATTCTGAGGGACATTTTGCATTCTCCCTGCACTTTATCTAGAGGGTTTTCACATTTACCTGAGCATAAGGAGAGATGAAACTAGTAATGCACACCAAACCAGCATCTGCAAACAGTTTAGCAACCTCAGCAATACGACGGACGTTTTCTTCTCTATCTTCTGGTGTGAAACCCAGATTCTTATTAAGGCCTTGGCGAATATTGTCACCATCCAACGTGTAGCACGGAATGCCATGGCACACTAAATACTCCTCCAGTGCCATGCTCACTGTAGTCTTCCCAGCACCAGACAGACCTAGAATATTCAATAATAATATAAATACATATTACAAGCATAGAAACAAGTTAGGGCAAATGGCAGTACAGGTACCACTGCAAGTATGGAAAACTCAAAGTGACAGGCATCAGCAGCAATGCCTTTCGGAGATTTCGGAGATGCTTACCTGCAACATAAGCCAAGTGCCTTTTACACAGACAATAGGTATAGGGAGAATAAGGCACAAAGTTAAGTGTGCAATTAGAAGCAGATAAAAGAGCTTGGCCTTGAGAGCTGCTGTTGCTTATAGAGGTGGTGCATGCTCCCCAGTGCTGCTACCGGCAGTTGTTACTACCCGAGGAAACCACATTCAGAAACCCAACACAGAGTTAAGATGTTACATCAGAAGAGGAAGATCTCACACTGAAGGGAATTTCAGTCAACAAAAGCAATGGGATCAGACCGAACCACACTCTGTGCTTACTCCTTGTAGAATAACAGCACCGAATTAGACAGTACAGACACAACAAAACTCACTCACTCATGACCCACACACAGCAATCATGCTCCACTAACCAGAGTGTTATCAACAAGCAAAGACAATTTTAACATTAAATTTTGGTCCAATTCAGAGTCTTCAGCAACAAACTTTTAAACAATTGAGAAGTCTTGCTGGCACTAGAAAGTCTACTGTTTGCTTTAAGTTGGAAATGTATTTAAATAACTTTCCGGACTAGATTTCAGGAGTTTATCTGGAGCACATTCTTCAGCTTATACGGAGTAATCAATTCCTAAATGGGACACAAATTCAGATCTTCATAAAATTACATCAATCCTTTGAGTAAGGAAAAAAAAATAAGGGTAATGGTAGTCTAAAAAAAAAAAAATAGCACTAGTGACTGAAGAAAAATGTTTTGATCTTTATTAGTGGTGGTTAAGATTTATTCTAGCTTTCATAAAGATGAAAAAAAAAATCACACAAAACAGCAGTTTGGTATTAATTCTAAGACCTTTACAAAAAAGGATGACAATCATGCAAACAAGCATATTCAAGGAAAATACAAAGTGCAGAGGAAACCTTGAAACCTGCAATAGTTTAGAGTAATTTAAAGAACTGAGTCATTGCATTGATTCCTCCTTCACTCGATTTAGTGTCCAAGAGATGCAGAGCAGCCTACTAAAAACATAAGAATATGTGTATCCCAGGACAAGTCCCACATAAGAACTTTAGACAACACCTCTCTCTCAAGAAAAGCCCCCACATCCATCTCACAGATTTCAGTATGGCTCATACTCAAAACTTTCAACAAATTGCAAAGCTGTGAATAAAGACCTAACATTGTCCACAAAAATTAATCACAGTTTCTTGGACAACTCAAGTTTCTTCTGTCAATGCTTACCAGTCTACTTTGAAAAGAGCAACTGCTACATAATGCCCAAGCTGAATGTTACGACTTAGGCTACAATCAGCTTCCAAAAGGGGAGGTCCTGCTCTCTTGCCTTCCCTTCTCTCCACTCCCATCATCCTACCTCTATTATTCCACCCTCCCTGGTGCCTGTTAGCCAACTCGAGTTTGCTCATCTTTTTTTTTTTTTTTTTCCCCCTGTATGGCAGGAGGCTGTGTGAAGTTCACTCGTGATTTAGCAAGTTGAATCAGCTCAACGTTGGGCTGGGTAAGCACTACAGCTCGTGCAAGGCAAAAGAAGGAAAGCAAGGTTGGAAAGAGAACAGTCTTCTTTTGTCAGCAATCAATTACACCCACATCCTACCAAATAAGCATGGCAGTCTAAATCAACATTTTGCCAACTACATCATTTGCTTCTCATTGATGCAGTCTCTGACTTGCAATTTTTGCTCCCACATCTAGTTTGCTATTCACTCAAATGCTCTAGCTTTTCATACGTCATTTACTCCAACGTGTAATGAAATGCAAAAAGTTAAGGTTATATAATAACGAATTTTAAAAATAGCTTTTGAGTTGACAAGTCTTTAAAATAACTTACTCTCTCAAAATTGCATATTATTTGACACACAAAAGTAATGATTTTTCCTTACTTTTGATATGTTCTTCAGGGGTTTTTTTACTAGGACCCTCTGACTCAACAGCACAAGACATTCATTAGAATTTAGCTCTCGAATAAATCTTAGCTTAAAAATGAGAAGTGATCTGTGAAATAAATTTCTCTACACTCCCACCCCATGAATGCTGCTGAGGGGAGAAAATCTTGAAGGGAGTGTACCACTGTTTCAGTTTCTATTCTAAAACCAAGCAGAGTTTTGAAGAATCATGTTTGCACAGTTCCAGAACAAGTACTACTGCTTATTTCAATACCTACAGCCCATTTCACTACCCAACATTAGTTCTCAAACATCTTTAACAACCTAACTTCCCCAACATGCTCTTCTTAATAGCTTACAGCCTTCCTACTTTTCTGTATTCTACCAGAACCCTTCTTCCTCCTGAAAAAAAGGAAATTTGTCATCAAGACTACATTTGTTTAAAGAGAATGATGACTGGAAAATGTGCCATGTAGATAACTGAGAAAACACTTTTATCATGACCTTTTTCAAAAGGATATTAATGAATTACCAGGAGAAACAGCAAGGCAGCCTACCAGATCATTCAAGTATTGAGAGACAGGCTGGAGCTACGTCATAGAAATAGGCAGAGAAAGGGCTCCATTCTTTTATCAAATAAATACATGACAGCAAGCTACTGTTATCAAATCTGTCTGGAATGGCTCTCAGCAATTTGTTATCAACTGCTGCATTACCTTTCACACATGTTCATTAACACTAGCGGAAAGAAATTTTACTTACTGTAGTTATATTTCTCTAATACTCTGTGAAGATCTTTTGTATTGCAATACAACAGTGCTCTAAACAGTTTACAAGCTAATTAAATAAAGCATTTTGTTACACTTATTTTTTATTTTCAGTTTTAACTGGAAAAAACCTCCAAAGAAAACATGTTAAAGCTTCCAGGGATTTTGAAAGGCAGAAAAAAAAAATCCCCTCACAGTTATGAGACAAAGCTGTCTTCCAGAAATTACTTAACCTTTCTTTTTACAATCAAGACAATTCAGAGAAAAAAACACTGTGCTGATTTCAAAAATAACTCCCAGTATGCATTGCCTCAACATGCAATTGCTGTCCAAAGGCACAGGTTTATGTCGAAAGGTTATTTCAAACCAAGGAGACAAGAACATTCAAAAGAAAGGAGACCTTTACAGAAAAGATTCAGAAACACAGACTCTAAAAAATAAAAAAGTCAAGCTTCATTTGTTAATAGGTAAAACGCACAGGAAGAAGAGCCAGAATTGGTTAAAACACACACAAAAAACCCGCATACACTTCAAAACTCAAATGGAATTAAGCAGCGGAGAGTGCCAAATAAACAATGCTCCTAGAGCAATGAACAAAATACATTTTCAAGTTACTATCTGTCCCAGATCAATTTCTTGCTAGTCTACCTAAAAATAGTAATGAAATTGCATCAAGGTCTTAGACTCCACAATCATTCAACTTTGCATGAGAAAAAGCAGCTACAGCTAAAGTAGCTTTTCAGAAGAGTAACTAGAACAAAAAGATCCTCAGAAATCTGTGACCGTACCTGTTAACCAGACTGTGCATCCGCGAAAACCACTTCTTGTTCCTACCACTTGACCTCTCTTATTTCTGCTGACATGATGAGCTTGGTAGGTAACATTGGTTGCCCTCTGCATTCCCTGTAAAAGAAGTTGTTGATTAAGTCTTTAACTTCTAAAAGGGTGAGCTAGCAAAGCACAGTAAAACTTACTCACAGGCACAAAAAAGACTTGGAGACAGACCAACAGAAGTAAAAACAATACCAAATCCATCAGCTGCAGCATAGATCAAAGGACACAAAGGAAATTAGAAAAGCCACCCATAGCAAACCACGTCCCTTGTGCTCCTTCTGTGAAATTTAGGATTGTCACATTAGTAAACTACTACTTTCACATACAACTTCTTCAAGCAAAATCAACTATAAAAATAAATATGAACTGCTAGAGTTGCTAGACTTGACTTCTATTCAAGTCATTTAAATCTAAGAAGATCAAATGGATTCTCTCTTTGAGCCAAAAGTTTCTGTCATAAAACAGCCAAACATTGGCTCATTCTACACTCTTAAGAGGCCTTTTCATTGCAAACTATGCATGTCTGGTCCAACTTTCAGTTTAGCAGACACACTTCCAAACCACTCTGCCTTTACCCATGATATCTTCGGTCCCCAGAACTGAGACAGTTATCATATATTATGAGCCTTTAAAGGAAGCACTATTTCTAAGCCACTTATTAAAGAACTTATTTTAAAAGATGGAATTTTTGTAATATAATTTTAGTTAAAACAAAGTTGGTTACAGACTTTCTTAAAACTATTTATTCATCATAATAAGATGCTGTACAAATATCGTTAAGTAAGATGACACTGCTGTCAAACACATTTCACAATCTAAGGTGAGGGAATCCACAGGAAGATCAGCCTCAGCATTCCCTCAAGCTTTACTGGTATGTAGTTATATGAACTTTGTTCATAAAAGATCAAGGCCTTAGATAACCAGACAGTGTGAACAATCAAACAGAAGAGAAGGGTTTTTTTTTTTTTAAAAAAAAAAAAGAGGCGTGTGGGAAGGATTAGTGGTATATGTAATGCTGCTTTGAATTCTCTTGCTTGCAAACATATTGCACTATCATCTCTTTCATCATTGTATCAGTGTTAACTGGAAAGAACTTAGGACATCAAATAAGGGAGAATATTCATCCATAGAGTACTAGCAGAGAGCTGTTCATAGTTTCAGAGAGTGACATCACAAAGCAGGGTTAACAGAAAAACAATATCTACTTGTGGCTTCAAGAACTGCTGCTACATCATTTTTTCTGTAGGAAAACACGTCAAAATTTTATCTATAACTTAACTGGAATTTAGGAATTTGTGTGATTGTATGTCCCCTCTTCTATACACAGCTGGGCTCATAGTTAATACAAACAGAGACCCAAAGTAAGAACAGATGTTCAAGTTCTTAAATACAACTTTGTAATTCAGTGGTGACAGTCCAGCATCTAAAATTAGATGAAGACTGAATACCAACCCGTACGAAACCACCACCTGCAAACAGGTTAGAACCATAAAAAATGAAGCTACACTTGCCTATCGTGTTACCTTCAAATAATTTATCTCCTAAAACAAAGCTGTTTTGCACATGAAGTCAGTGCAATACAGCTAACTAAAACCAGAAGTCAGAGTCAACAAATTAAAAAGTCTTTCTTCTAATAGTAGAAATAATTATATACTACATAAAATTGGAGATCTCAGCAAGCAAATGCATAAAATGTGGAATGAAAAACAACAAAAGAATTTAAGTACTCAGCTTTAAATTAAAAAACAGACATACGGTGCATAATGAACGTACACAGCAATTCAAACTAATACATTAATAACAACAACATTCCTTCTCATTAATTCCAGTTGAACTGTATTGTACCAGGCACTGGACAAACAGAGAACAGGCTCAAAGCACAGCTCCCATGCCACTGTCTCGATAAGCTCTTTTACATTAAAATATAAAATCACACATGCTTTGCTTTTAACTCCTGGCAAAGAGTCTAATATCAGACTCGAATACTTTGGAGGTCAAATATCTCATCCAAGGAGACTTCTTCCAGTCCATATTCAGTAAGTTATACTAGTTTTCTTCACTTTCCAGACCCAGCAAAGTGGCAACGAAACTGATCAGGATATTGCATGTGTTACGAAACAGATGAAACTCTGAGGCAGCAGGCGGATTCTTGAAACCAGGAAAAAGACAAAACTTTAAAAAAAAGAAAAGAAACAAAAAAGTATCCAGTAATGAATTAGCAGAGATGACAAATCACAGCAACGAGAAGGCCAACAGATTGCTAAAGTACAAGGCACACGAATGGAACATAGCAGCCAGCGAGCTCAGCGGGACAATAATCCCTCAGGTGGGACAATAATCCATCTGCGCTTCAGAAGCAGGCATCCAGGACTAAAGGTTAAAGTGCCCAAACAGTCCGCATGTATTCAAATCCACACCCTTCCCCAGCAACCTCACCTTTTGTTTATGTGCGCATGCACACAAACAAGACAGCTCGGTACTACTCCTGGGCAAAGTAGTAGCAAAATCGTCCTTATCTTCCCAGAGAAGCTTTTTATAGAGGTGCTCTAAAGAGTTAATGATTTAGCAAGTCATACTCTCTCGCTGCAAAAAAAAAATAGTAACGTTTCCTAACCATGTCCGCTTTGCTACTCGATAATTCACTGGATGGCTCAGCTCTGGGGTCCCCAACATAAGAAGGACATGGACTTGTTGGATCAAGTCCAGAGGAGAACCGACCATAAAAATGATCTGAGGGCTGGAGCACCTCTCCTGTGAAGACAGGCTGAGAGAGTTGGGGCTGTTCAGCCTGGAGAAGGCTCCAGGGAGACCTTACAGCAGCCTTCCAGTACCTAAAAGAGCTACAAGAAAGCTGGAGAGGGGCTTTTTGCAAGGGTGTGTAGTGATAGGACAAGAGGCAATGGCTTTAAACTGAAAGAGGGGAGATTTAGATTAGATCTAAGGAAGAAATTCTTCACTCTGAGGGTGGCGAGGCACTGGAACAGGTTGCCCAGAGAAGTTGTGGCTGCCCCACCCCAGGAGCGTTCAAGGCCAGGGTGGATGAGGCTTTGAGCAACCTGATCTAGCGGAAGGTGTCCCTGCCCATGGCAGGGGGGTTGGAACTAGATGATCTTTAAGGTCCCTTCCAACCCAAACCATTCTATGATTCTGTGATTCACTACCACCACTGTGCAACAAAAGCTGAACACCGGATCCTCAAAACATTAACAAAAATAAAGAAGTTTTTACTTACTGCCTCGATATATACACTTACTATAAATATTGATGTAGCACAGAAAAACACTCAGGAGCGAAATCAGTGGCTCACATTGGTTGTGCTCTTAAATTATTTAGCCAGTCTTCAAATTCCGGTACATAAAATTTGACGAGTAATGATTGATGAAATTAAGTGGCTATCCAAAATTATAGTAAAAATAAAGAACAGTCATTTCCTTTTACGCTATATCAAAGCATCACTAACCTTGGAGATCCATATTATCTCCAAGATAATAAAATGAAATAAAAGAAATGAAACATAAGAAAATAAACAACAGAAAAACTCAATGTGATGAGCAAGTACTCTTTTTAAAAGCTATTTTTAACTTCTTAGCCTAATTACTTTCACTATAACAGTTTCTAATGAAAGAACACACTAGATTTTTATAAAGGGGCTAATGAAAAAGGGCATTAATCTCAAAGGTCTACTCATCTGCTTTTTTTTACAACTATCGGAAATTTCTTCTCTGACTTGTCCACAAAAATATTTCTTCCACCCTCTGTTATATATTAAGCGCTTCCGCACTACTTACACAAATATTGTGTTTTAATATTTTCCCTCCCACTTGCCATGTTAAATAGAAATAATGCTCCAGCCCACTGTGCTTCACTGTAACAGTAATGCCAGCCGAGAAGGGTGAGGTGTCCCTCCTTTCTTCTCCCCCACTATGCCTGTTTGTTTCCCACATGAAATCTGAAGTGCTGCAACAGACTGATATCTTTGTACTGAAGATACAAAAATTGGAGTATTGAAGTAACAAGCCCTTCACAGATGTGCACTGAAGAGCTGTAATGTAAGGCAGCAAGGAAGGATGACTACACAGCTTACTTTTTTTGGTGTAAAGGTAAGCTTTTAGCTTTGCAGGTAATGGACCGAGGAAATTAATACCAACATCTAAGAACTATGGGAACAGAAGAGAGAAAGAAGATGGGGACCAAAAGGAAATACTAACTGTCAATTTCTCTATGTAAAGATTTGCCGAAGTAGACTTGATCAATATTTTCTTATCTCATTCTTGATGTTTTGCCCAGTTGCAACTATAATTTTTTTGCATCAAAGGCCAAATCTGACTATCAGTGCCAAACATCTTTGATGTAAGAACTCAGATCAGACATCCAGATGAAGACAAGCAAACCCAAGTTGCAACACCAAGATGAAAAGACAGCAGAAAGAAAAGATTATTGCTTAATTGTTTCACAGTTAACAAACAGACCACTACACTGGCATAAACTGAATTTATTACTTCGGAGCAACAATGAAACATTGTGCTTCTACAGTCACTTCACATCAAATCTGAACTTTTCCCAGAGCAAGACCTGTAGGGTAGGAAGGAAAGCTTTCGGTGGGAAGCAGAGACTCTCCAGCCTACAGCACCAACCTGAGACAGCTTTGAGGTTGGAAGTCTCAGGAAAGAACTGTGTAAACAACAGGCATGGTTTCTATACAAACCCTATATACTCAAGAAGCTGTGACTAATTCCATATTTTTCTGCTCTAAGATGACAGTGTCAATTCCCTAAGCTAACACCACCCATCAGCTAACAACAGCAACACATCCAGCATCACCTCTGAAATGCAGTCTTATCATTAATGCCTCTCCCATTTCCCAGTCACCTCAGATATTTTCTAGGCCATTTCCTAACTTACTCACCGTGTGCCTCTTAAAAGCCAGGGATACCCTGATAGCAACACATTTTTATTACATTTATTCTTCAGCACTGATAACCGAATGATACGTTTCTTTTTCCCTCCAAGCTGCTCTCCTCAATAGCCAAATAGCAACTCAAGTAGACTGGACACTGCCTGTTTTCTTTGTCTACATACAAACACAAGCA